AGGGGTACGATCCAGATGCTGGGGTGGTCTCTCCTAAGGAGGTCTCCTCCGGTGGCATGGGATGATGTTCAAAGAACTTGGAGACAAACAGCAAACTGTGAGGCAAGAACAAAACAAAAACAACCTAACTTGTGCAAAACCCAGAAGCTTCACAAAATAACACTCAAGGACTATTAAAAAAAAAAAGGCAGAAAAACCTCACTGATCAAATTCTGAATTTTAAAATAAAGACTACCCTACCATATTAAATCTGCAAGATGTGTTAAAAGTATTATTTACAGAGGACCAAAAGATCATGCCTTAAACATAATCTCTGTGGAAAGCAATTTTTAAATGTTTCATTGGAATTGCAAACATCTGCTTCCTCAAGAATGCACAACCTATACCTATACATTGAGTACATGAACTTATTTTAACATTTGCACTGATGCAATGCCAAAAACCAGATGCCAAATGGACAGAGCAGTGTTACCATGAACCCTGAGCAAAAACTCTAGAGATGCCCATGAAAACAGTTACAAATACCAACATAAGCGGAAACTAAATTTATTCTTGAGGGAAAAACTAGGATTTGAAATGATTCCTTTCATGAAAGTCTATTTAAAAGACTTAATAGCCTCTGCTGAAACTGATCAAATGGAAGACAGAGCCAGTTTACACCAGATCCTCAACCTACATCAAAGACTTACACAAATAGAACAGTAATTCTATTCAAGAACACATGACTGTTAGGGACATTCTCTTTTATGTTTCTTACCTAGGCATTAATCTTGCTAACAGATAACCAACTGTGTAAAACCAACTGCAAATTCACTATATTCAACTGGTGTCTCTTCACATTTTTCCAGTTGAAGAGAATAAACACACAGCTAAACATTTAAACAGGGCCCTAGCCATCACAAAATAAAGAACCAGTTTTGATTAATAATAACAACTGCAAACAATGAGAAGTCTGTCTGATACAGTCAAGTGCTCAGCAACCCTATTCATGCTTCAAAGAAAGCATTTCATAGTCCAGCAAAGAAATATGAACTGGTTGTCTGAGCTAGCACAGAAACAATATGAATTAAGCAGTCTCACAAGAACAGTTGAACTCCTGTAATTTTTTTTCCAGCCACCTCCTCTGACTTCCTGAATCACAGATTGAACATAAGAAATCACTGACAGCTGTACACTTAATAAAAGGTTCAACTTGAAAACCAATTGTGATTACTTACTCAAGTTGGTCATAATTAACACACATCAGTGGCACTTCTGTACTACAGCGCTGGTGAAATTTGTATCCACACGTCTGGCACCGGAAGCCCTGGAAAAGCAGCTTGCGGCAGAAGTCGCAGAACGCTAATGTGAAGAATGTTTTTCGTACCTGCATTGTCAAGCACAAATAAATCTCAATTACACAGAGTCCTTCTGGAAGCCCAAGATAGGCTATTTGCTTTCACCTCCCTCAAATGCACTTACAAGCCTCATTTTTGAATCTGGAGCTACAGTTTTATGTATGATACAGATTTAGATAAAAGATTTGTTTCCTTTCTGAAGCTGTATTCATGCATTAAATGCACCCTTTACTATAAGGGTGGTGAGACACTGGCAGAGGTTGCCCAGGGACGTGGTGGCTGCCCCAACCTTGGCAGTGTTCAAAGCCAGGCTGGATGAAGCCTTGAGCAACCTGATCTAGTGGGGTGTCCCTGCCCATGGCAGGGGGTTGGGACTAGATGATCTGTAAGGTCCATTCCAACCCCTAAATTCTATGATTCTATGATTCAAATTTTCTTCCAACTATTCATTAGAATGAATGATTCATTTCAGTAGCAGAAAGAAAACCAGCAACAAATTTGAAGCAAAGCTGCACTCTTTCACGCTAGGGACAAACGTTCAGAATTAAACTGGATACAACCTATAAAAACAAAAGCTGCTGAAATATTATCTCATTGCCTCATTTTTCCAGGAGCCAAATAGTATTTCTATCCAACACTCACAGGAATGGAAATACACATATAGCTTATATATAGGGCTTCAGTGGATGGTTACACATATAGTTGTAATTTTGACTACTGAAACTCAGAAACATATGAATCACAAAAGTATGATCACGTATCATCTCCACATTACAAGGAGGGGATTTAGTTAACTATCAGATTTAGCAACACCTGGCATAAAAACACATTCTAGCTGTATTACTACAGGTAATAATCAAAATTTCAAATGGATATAAAGCAGAAAAAAGTTAAGCCTACTAGATTTCTTCTAACTAGCCATAGCCACACCAGCTTGTATGAGTAAAATAGTTTAAACAGCTTGCAAATAGAATTTTTGGTTTTTTAAATTTAAGTAGAAGGTCTTTCTTCTCAGTGTGACAAACAGTATTTCTAGGATTTTGTATGTAGCTGGAACCATTTAGATGGATTCTGTTTAGCAGCTTCCATTTACTTGGTGCCTTATCAGGTCAAAACATATTTGTGCACTAGCATCACTGATGATGTCAGCACTGCTCTGGGAATAGTTAGTTCATTAGTTAATTGCTGCTGCAGAGCCAGCAGGGAGGCCCAGAATACATTTTATAGATACAGCAATACAAAAATAGTAGATTATTATTACAGCTCTGCAATGCAGTGCTGATTTAAACCCACTACATTTATAGATTTTAGAGGGTGTATTCCATCCAAACGTGAAGGTTTTAAGGGTGGATCAAGTACTCTAACATGACTTATTTCAAATACAATTCTATCTAATTCACTTAAGCTACTGTGATTATAAACTTCTTTTGCAACTCCCACCACATCCCACAGACACACAATATTCAAAGTTGGCAATTTGAATTTGAAAGTACAAAGTTGATGTAACCCTACTCAACGTTTCACAAAACCCAGTACATACGAAATTGTGTGTCGTGAGTGGCACATTCTCCAAGACTTCCACATGCAGCTCCTCTCCAGTGAGCCAGGAAATGTCAGTGTCCCACCCAATTGGCTTCTTCTCTCTAAAGTGCAAATGAGCCTCTCGTTAGCATCAGCACACAAGCCTTTGCATGTCTCTTCCCGAAGTTGTGAGATCAGCTAAAATGTTGCACCATGGGGGTTTGCTACCCACTGCCTAACTGCAGGCAGCTTTGAAGGCAAGAGATTAAGCTCTGCATACAGCAAATAAAGAACACCTTCCCTGGAAAACTGCATGAAGGAAATGTACTTTTTCAATCAGCTCCAGTAGTGACCAGTTCCTTGGGTCCAGGGTGACAGGCACCCTTTTGATCAAAGTGTCTGTGAAAGCTTCTGTTGCATAGGAGTCTCACAGAGATGACTAATTGTGTGCATTAAGATAATCTACAAACGTTTTAGGGCTGAAAACTCTGTGCTTTTTTCCCAAGGGACCTCTATCTTCAGTTAAGAATGCATTAAAACCAAGTCAAATAAAACCAAAAAGTTAACACAACCTGTTTAATACTTGTTTGGTTAGCATGAGTTTGATCAATGAGCCTTTAGCAGGCCATAAGCTCACAGCATGCCCGAGTCTGTTTGTAGGAGTTTGCCATTCTTTTACATGTGTCTTCAAGGTGCAAATTGTTTTACTGAAGAGTATATCATATCATTCTGAACTTGGAAAACAACTTCCACCATGCTGGATAGAATCAGCCACACCAGTAAGTCCATTAACAGATTCTAAGAGCCAAAATCAATCACACAACCCATACCCATCTTGTATTCTGTAAACAGCACAGCATTCTGGGATAAGACCTCTCATCATCAGTGCTTTCTTGAGGCTGTCTCGGACTGTCACTCCACATCTTGCTGGAACCTAGAAGTCAAATACAAAAGATATTAATTAAATCGGTTTCCAATTTATCCCCCCAAACTGAAGCAAACATTTTGACCCTCAAGGGCTGAACCCACTTTTCATGATGCTCTACAGAAAGGTAGGTCAGAGATTTTGAAAACCTTTTTTGCAATGGGGAAATTTTTATTGGTTTTATATAAGGAATTGTATATAAGGAATAGAGCTCAGCTAGAAGAGAGAACAAACTCTACACTTTATTAACACTTGGAACGAAATCTTCATTGAACTTCAAAAGTGACTTTCCAACTTTGCTCAGCTGGAAGAAACTGGAGATACAGAACACAGACAGCTAATAACTATGTACAGCTGTAATTTTACAGCCTGGCCTGAATTTTTAAGTGGGGAAATATGCCAAGTGAAATTAAGTGAAGGAACTAACTTGGGCTGCACTCAAAAAAACACTAGGATAAAATGTAAATATTTCAATTTTCCATTTCTAAGAGAGAAGATAAGCATGCAAACAAGCAAAACAAAACACTCATCTGAGACAGGCAGACCATCACCTCTCACTTGAAACTATACTTGTAACTCTACAGATACTTCTTATATGAAAAACATTATTTCTCTTTGTTTCACTATTCGAAAAGTTTTAGATATCTAACAGGATGGGAAGAATGGAGAAGCATACTAAAACTAGCCAAAGAACTGCAAACTATGCAAAGTAAAGGTATTTTCTTTGCTTTTACTGAATTCTAGCTATAGGCATATCTTACATGAATAAGTGCATCATCTCTAGCTATACCTGTGGTTTAGCACTGTACACTGTCAAGCCATAAAACCCCCCAGTACATATTCTGGTGATTAAGTGCAGTTAAGGTATTGAATATTACCCACTTACTCTTTCTAGAACCCAACAGGGCAAATATGTAAGACTTTAGGTGATGTATGTACTGGCACATCTATTAACCACAGACAGTACCTCAAACTCAAATCAGAAGAAAACTCCACAAACTTAACAAACCCAAAAAGTCTGTCTGAACACCTGAAGCTCAATTCTATCTTGCTAGTGGCTTAAGCCAGAGCCCTCAGTAGCCAAAAGCAGTCTTTTAATCAGCTTCAACTGGCTTTGGATCAGAGCCTAGTTTTTACTCCTTGCACTTAACTTTCCATGGGTATTTAGGGGCTCTATGTCCTACTTAAGCATGACAGTGAAAGGCAGCAGTCTGTTTCAAGTAGCTTTGTGTACACCACTTGATGTTACGCTATATATTGCATTTCTAGAACTCATATGCTCTCTCAGAAGAGAGAAATTGAGTATCTTGCTTTGCCATCTTCCCATTAAGGTGAAAGTACTTCTTACAGGATATTTGTGCATTTCATTTGGCCAACATAAACATTTAAAAAAGAGAATTTATCTTAATTCCTTGGAAAAAACCATCCTATAGCATGCTGCTTTACAAACTTGATGAGTGACTTCAGTTTACACATTACATTACGTTTTAATGCATCTTTTTATTAATCTATGTCGCTTCTTCTCATCCCAGAAGTTAACACCACTGCTTTCAATCACTTGTAGGTCATTCCTCCAGCATAAAACATCCTTAATTGTTACTAATACCCATCCCTGGTATTAAGAGGGAGCCTGGGAGCACTTACTATTGTCAATATGGTCAACAACATTCCACTGTAAAACTCAGCCCTCTGTTGCTTAAGCCTTTGCTGCTCTTCCAAAGGTTAGCGTTCACAGCAAAACCAACTGCTGACAGAGTCGTTCTGTGACCAGAACCACCTGCTCCCAACTCCTGGTAACATGGTTACCATAACTAGGATCATTTTATGAGGCAAGCAGCCGTTCTCTGTGACTGAGTGGGTCATGCATTTGCTCTCTTTCCCCTCATTATCACACCCTGAAAGTCCTGTCAACCAAGCAGACAAGCTGAACAGATTTCTTCTTCCCCTCCCTACTGGCCTCAAGGTTCCTGGTGCCAGGCTGACCTCTCCCTCCCTTGCAAGTCCTGAAGGTCCCAGTGGCTACCAGGTGGTGATGGCCTGGTCACAGAACATGGAAGTGTAACAGCACACAGAGCACTGTCAATAAATCAAGCAGTTACCAGTCCTAAAGGAGGAACTTGGACCAGAGCTACTGCTGGACAGTGAGACCAGGGACCCACCAAAACCCAGGGGCATCCTCTCCTTCCTTTGAGGACTGAGTGAATGACTCCTTTTATATGAATGCCAAATCTAAATTATGTTTGTTATATTGATACAGCAAACTAGGTATTAAAAGATTTGCCTTGATCTGCAGAGGGTCTAGGTGATTAGAAAGTGAGGTTGCATTATGAATTCTGTATTATGTACAGTACTGATTAACTTGTAGAAATCATGTGACATTCTAATTGAATTCTAAATTCTATGCTAATTCTAAATTAAAAATTCTGTGCTATACTAATCATAATATCTTGTTAAGAAAATACAGCTTTAATTGTACCTATGATTTAGTGCCATCATCATCATCATATCTGCCATTCTATCACCATAGAAGCTGCCTGTCCCCTCAGTGTTGGGTAACAAGTTCCCCCTGCCTCCAACACAGACATTTACAAATACAGAGTAAATATTTTTAAGATTCTGACTAAAATCTCTGAGGATTTCAGAGGTGTGCTCCAACCTCCCACACACATTAGGTCCAATCATGAGCCATTTTGATGGAGCAAGCAAGTGTTCTTCAGCTCAAGGCTATTTTTCCTCTAAGTATAGCTCCTGCCGGATTGAGGCTGAGTCCCCACAGACCATTCAGGTCTACATTTCCAGCAACCTCAGTCAGTTCAACACTGATATCCACAGTGGAAGAAGAAACTGAAATACTGAGGTGACAGACAGATGGTAGGGACAAACAGGGGAATGAACAGAGCCAGGAAAGTGGTTGGGCATGAAGGGGAAATGGGAGGAGGGGGTCAGGACAGATTCAAGAACTGACCAGAGAAAGCTTGTGTATACTGGGAGAGAGAATTGTCACCAGCAGGTTGGTGGGAAAACAGACAAGCAGGAGAGAGGGAAGACAGACTGAAGAGCTAAATGAGGCAGAGGGCAGGAAACAAAGATGTGATGAACTACCATGTCGGGGAGAACTGCTTGCCAACCACCAGGAAAGTATTGGAAGCATATCCTGAACAGGAAGCTTTCGTGCTGGGATTAGAGGAGGCTTGTTTTGGACAAGGAGCATCAGAGGGAAAGAAGTGCCTAAGAGCAGCATTAGAACCCAGCACAGAGAGAGGGAAGGAGTTCTAGCTTAGGCAGAAAACTTCAAGGCAATAAGTATTAAAAGAAACAAGGTCAGTAAAATCTTGACCTAGGTGAACAACAGAACAGGACAAGGAGGAAAAGCCAACAGTGACAAGGTGACTGACATTAACGAACAGACAGGGAAATCTTGTGCTCACTGGAAAATATTTCCTTCCTCCAGCACTGATCCTTTATAAATGATGACAACATCCTCCAGTACCTCATGAATCAAAGTCCCACAGCAGGAACCTGTAAGTTCCAATGCTATCAATGAGTTACACTGGTGTAAATAATGCCATTTCAGGTGATTTCTGATTTTTTTCCTCTTAATTTTGCCAAAACCAAGATTCATAAAGGTACAGGATTTCTTTTAAGAGACCAATAAAGTCAGAAACACAAGCTCACAAAACCAAAGTAGTATCAGAATGAAGGTTGCCTACGGCAACACAAGTGCAATAGGACTATGAAAAATGTGCATTAAACATCTTGCTCAGTTGTCACTTGCTGTTCCTCAGTATTACTTCCCCAAGTCTCCTTCATTAAAATCCAAGCCATATTTGTGCAACTTGCAATTAGAAACACGGGTAGAACATTTGTTCTCCTCACTGTCATTTGCAACAAGAGCCAGCTAAAAACCAGAGAACTGTTTTGATTACTTTCAAAAATCACCACGATCCTGAATCAGCATCACATTTAGAACATTCTCTTACAGAACTCCTGAGCAGAGAAACATAAGGCTAAATTAAAAGAACTTAGTGCTAGAATAAATCCCTGTAGTATTGATTAATCATTTTCCCAGGCTGGTACAGCACGCTCTACCACCATCTGTGCATGCAGCCCTTCAGCCCCCTCCTTCAGTCCCTATTAGCGCCTGCTGCAAAGCACAGATCTCACCCTACAAAGCATTCCCTCTAAAACCTCTCTCTCCCCCCAGCCTCTTCTCACCCCTAAAATATGGCAAAAGAAAGGGGGGAAAAAAACCCTCCAAGAAAGTCATTTGGGGAGCTAGTCAGTCTTAAGGAAAAAAAACAAACCAAAATGAATTCTTGTTTTCCAGCTAATGAACTCCAAAGCAGGAGCTTGGGAGCCCCTTCTTCCTCACCCCCAGCCAGAGGGAGGTACACCCCACGATTGGGAGCACAGGGAGCAGGAGCCCCAGCATGGTGCAGCCCCAGGACACACAGAGCCCTGGGCTGCCTGCCAGGAGCCAGAAGCTCCAGCTCGGCAGGCAGGCACCAAGGAGGGTTTATCCATTCCATCAAGAGTTCTGCCAGGATTCCCACAGAGCATTTCAACTGAATCACATCAGCATATTTTGGCAAAATCAGTTCCCAAAGAGAAAATTTCTCATCTGCTTGATAACATGCACTCCTAGGACTGCAATCCAGTAAACTGAACAAAGTTTGCATTTTACTGGAACACAGAATACTTATAATTATTTCAAATCCATTTTGTTCACATCCATCCATTCCCTTTTGATCCCTCTGTTTTGTAACTAAGGGAATCTAACTATGCTTCAGAATGGTCACCACCTAGAAACTCAACAGTACTGAGTGAGGGGATGTGTCTCAAAATTGTGATTGCTAAGGTTTTTAGGTTACTTACATACCTAAGGTTTTGTAGATGAGAAAAGGTTTAGGTTTTTAGAGAAATTTGAAAGTTAATTCAGCAAACAACTTTCAAAAGTGAAGAGTATGAAACGGTGTGGGCTCAACACTAGGACAGAGTACAGCAGCTGC